CAGTTCTGATCCACTCGCAAGCCTACGGGAAAGTGCGGGGTAATAATGTGCATTTAGGCCATGACTAGCGCCGTGTATTGTTTGGACATTGGTCACGTGGATCTCAGCCGGCTTGATCAAGTCTTAGTCCCTGATGACCCACAAGTATAGGGGATCAATCGTAGTCCTTTCCATAAGTAACAGTGGTTCTCCTGGGCCATTGCGGGAAGGATCCAATGTGGCATGTGATGTACCGCGGTTGCAGCTACAAGCCTACAATTATGTGCTCCTTCGTCGCCGATAGGCGTCCTGCCCTTCTTTGGAAGTGTGGCACCGATGATTCCTAGATAGAGTCTCTCAAATAGGGTCGAACTGAACTGCTAGACTATGTTGAGTGATAAACTCAATGATTCAAAAAAATTAAGAGATGGATGAAATTACACAAGGAATCCTGGTCTCAAAGAAGAGGGAAATGGGGATATGGCGAAATCGGTAGACGCTACGGACTTGATTTTATTGAGCCTTGTTTCTATTTTCATGCCCTGGTTGCTTAGTTGTGCTCAGGTTTTACCCTGTGCATCCAACATTGCTCACTTTCCCCTCCCTCCTCCAACCCCTACTCACAGAAGTCCAAAGGAAGCACCGTCGTCCAGTCAAAGCCTTTGACCTTTACCTACTGGCGAGTGGGGCCACGTTGAAAGAACATGCAGTGCCCCCATGTTTGGTTTTGGTAATTGATAACAATCTCTATGGACTAATGGTTGCCTTGAGTTATATTTGAAGGTTTTGTCCATAGGCTTTTCTTGGAGTACATGTGTTGGTTTCAAGGAGAGTTTGTGTCGACCAAGGTGCTATTCAAGGAATTACCTAAAGACTGGTCTTGTGAGAGGTTGATCAAGACTAAGTCAAAGAGTGAATCAAGTTGATCGACACACAAAGCGTAGAAGATGTACCGAGAGGGATCAAGTGATCCCATGGTATGGTAAGCATTGTCAATTACGCTTTGTGTACTAACCCATGGTCTTCGTGAGAGTTCTTTGTGGGGTTAGGTTGCTCTGTGCAAGTTCAAGTGATGCATCACGAAGATATCGAGTGCTTGAAGCTTGCCGTCCATTGTGGTGACAATGGACTTGTGGAGATGTGCCGAAGAGTGGCTCACCCATAGTGGAGTATGGGGGAGCAATCTACTAGTGTTCACCAAGCCAACACAATCAAGAAAGGTGGTCCAACTTGAGGAAGTCAAGATCGTCTACATCTAGCTCAAGTGGACTTTATGCAAGGCAAAGGTTTGCCCTTGATAGGTTTTCTATTTTATCGGTCTTGTTGTGGAATTGTCACGGCAGATGTCCTAGCGAAAGGACTTAGTCGTAGGGCCATCACAACTAGGAAGCTTAAAGGGGTTAATCGGGACAAAGGACACAAGAGGTTTATATTGGTTCGACCCTTTACGGTGAAGGTAAAGCCTAGTCCAGTTGATGTTGTATTGCTAGGTTTCGATGACCAAGGAGCGAATCTGCTATCTTGGCTATCGATCGCTTGTTTTCTTGTCCTAAGACGCCGCCGGGTCGTCCCCTTATATACACGGGTTGACGCCTGGCGGCCTATAGAGTCTCGGCCGGCTCATAAAACGTGTCCGGCTCGGTGACTTCGTTTATATGCCTTTCTTTACAAGTCTTTCTTTACATATGGCGGTTTACAATATTGGGCCTTAAGCCGCCTCTGGGCTTAGGCCTTCTACAAGTCTTAATAAACTATCACCTTGAATATTACCGGGCTTCTTTTTGTAACCCGCCATTAGGGTTGACCCGACCCCTCCTGGGCGGGTCATACCTAGTAGCTATATCCCCAACATTAGGCCCAGGTTGACTTGAACTTTGTTCTTTGTCAATCTTCAACATTTAGACGAAATCCATCTTCCTCTGTCTGAAAAAACTCTGTAACCCGCCATGACGTCATCTTCTGAAAACATGAAAGCCTGCTATGACGTCATCTTCAACGGATCTTTTATCTTTTAATGTCTTCCGAGAATCAAGGCGTCCGTTTAGCTGGATAATCATTATTTTGGTCTTCCTCAATTTTCGCTCCTGCCCGTTCACTTCTTTCCCTTATAAATAGGCTTGGCCGGTCCTTCTTCTTTTTTATTCTTCCTTCCATCTTCTCGCTACCTCTCTGCTTCTCGAGCTCCGCCGCTGCCGTAGCACTCACCATTGCCCTCAATGTCGGCTGCTGCATCACCCTGAGCTCGTCCAGAGAACCGCGACGACTCTTCACAGTAGATCTGCATCTCGTAAGTTCCTTCTTTTTCACGCACTTAGATCTGTATTAGGGTTGCGAGTTCATCGGTTTTCTTCGCTGTTCATCACGGATCTTCTTGTAGTTCTTCCTCTGCAGCCTCTTCTGATCCAAAAAGGAACACATAACTCGTGCGGTAGTTGTTTTGCGTCCATTTTTTATACCAGTAGATCCCTTTTTTCTATACAGATGCCTCATTATAACTCAAAAACTCATATGTACTAGATTTTTAGGTCTAGAATATTTTCTTTTCGAAACGACCATTTGATCCAAAATAATAATGACAGCTTGGTAAACTTGTTTGTGCCAACACTTAGCCATTTTCTGTTTCTAGCATCCTTTGAATATCTTTAGTCATGGTGGCTTATGGCTCCGGCTTTCCTTTATATGTCATTAGCCCTTCTTTAAGACGCCATGATTCATCCGTATCATGATCATGAACCTGTAACTTCATCAAATAAATTGAACCGAAAAATTACTTTCTTTTCAGCTTCCCCTTTTTCACCATGCCATCAAAAGCACCGACAGTCTGCAACTGGGTCCCCTCCAAAGTAACTGAGGATAACTTGAAAGAGTTTGTCACTATTGGATTTTTGCCAGAGAAAAACATTATGTCTTATCGTGCTCCTGACCCGAACGAGGAACGGCCTAATCCCAAAGATGGTGAAGTTATTGTCTTCACTGACCACATGAATCGGGGGTTTTCACCACCCGGCTCAAAGTTCTTCAGAGACGTTCTTCATTTTTTCAAACTTCACCCTCAAGATCTTGGACCCAATTCCATATCCAACATCTACAATTTTCAAGTTCTCTGTGAGGTGTATCTTCAAGAAGAGCCGACTGTGGAACTCTTCAGAGAGTACTTTTATCTGAACCGCCAGAATGAGAGTACCAATGGCCCTAGCTTGGACCTCGGAGGAATCTCAATTCAGCGCCGACATGGCGCCGTCTTTCCCTTAATAGCCTGCCGACTAATCCTAAAGATTGGAATCAGACCTGGTTCTATTGCCAAGATACGTCTCCAGCCAATGAAAAACCACTGCCGGGTTATCGCGCGGAGCGTCTGGATTCCAAGTTTGTGCTCCCTGATAAGCTTACTGCTTCTGAACGCAAGAAGCTTATTCCATCTATTAAAAGGATCAATGCCTTACTGGGGAATGGCTTAACCGGAGTTGACTTGATCCGTTGCTGGATC